ATCCAAACCTAAAAAAGTCCCAAAAAAAAGCATATTTTATAAAAGAAAAATTAGTAGTTTAGTATTTAGTATAGTTTTAATAAAACTTAATAACACTCGCTTTAATATAAGACGTATAACTATATTATTAAATGTATTATTCGAAGCATGATATTTCCCCCCAAAAAAACGTATCATAGTAAATAATACTATTTGAAATAAATACTATTGCGAACACTGGCCATATCATTTGTGACCCGCCTCGTAAGTAACAACTTTCCAGAGTTTTGCCACGAATTTCATTCCAGCTCTTTCAAAACTGTGTGCTTAGACTTCTCCAGAACTCTTCACAAATCTTCACAAAAGAATTGTCCAAGAGCCTTTGGAGAAGTCTTACGTTTTCGTTTCACGTCGCAAAAAACAAGATCTACAAGTTTTGTAATAGCAGTTTCAAAGTCCTCCCAGAACTGTCAAGCAGTCCTTCGCGAATTCAGTCTCGCTACCTAGCTATTCCTAGAAGTTCTACCGGGAGTACTATGTGAGTCTTCCTCATTGGTGTCGTACTTTCGGAAGCTGTAAATATAGAGTGTATACATAGAGAACAAGCTTACCTAGAAAGAACGTTCACTTCTTAGTATCGGAAAATCGGGTAGTCTAGCTTATAACTTGTAGAGACATTAAGTCCTTATTAGCTTCACATTCGTAAATGCGAGCAATGGCGTGAGGAACTGGACTTTCAGCCGAGCCACCTAAATTGTCTATCGGATATTGAGACAATTTGGGCTCGAATTGTCCTTTCACCTGTTGACCCTCGCTTAGCGCAACTCCAGCCTACAACTGCTAGATCCTCTTTGACCAACTTCCACAACTTCTTTCTGCGATATCAAAGACCTCTTGTTTGCTGTTGCACTCTTTCTAACGACAACTTTACTGTCTCTGGAGACAACTGCGAAAAGATCAGTCCAAGCCTGCACCAGATTACAACTTCACCCTTCGGCACCTGGCCTCGTCAAATTCGTCTCTGTTTGCGGGCTTGATCTTCTTCGTCATCACTGGTTGGTTCTCGAGGCGAGCCGACTCAATCAGGCTCGTGGCGTCGGCGTCGTAAGACTGCGACCAGTCTGTCTTATTTGAGAGCGCTCTCGAAGCGAGCTCCTTTTCTGGACAACTTCACCCTTCAGCACCTGGTCCCGTCAAATCTCTGCTTCAGCCACCGCGACCAGTCTATCACATTGGAAAGCGCTCTCGAAGCGAGCCCTTTCTCCGGACACCTTCACCCTTCGGCACCTACTCTTGTCAAACTTCATCTTTACTCCAGCCACCGCGACCAATCTATCAAGCACTCTCGAAGCGAGCTCCTTTTCCGGACAACTTCACTTCGGCACCTGGTCTCGTCAAGTTCGTCTCTACTCCAGCCACCGCGGCTAATCTATCACGTTGGAAAGCGCTCTCGAAACGAGCTCCTTTTCCGGACAACTTCACTTCGGCACCTAGTCTCGTCAAATTTACCTCTGTTCCAGCCGACGCGACCAGTCTATCACATTTGAAAGCGCTCTCGAAGCGAGCCCCTTTTCTGGACAACTTCAATATAGCAACAACCTTCTCCTCGTCAATCTTGAAATCATTCGCTTCGAGTACACGACAACTACGTTTGGACATCTTCTTCCACTTCGAAGGTCAGTAACCATTTTTCTCTTACACGGATTCCAGTCTACAGCGTGTCACTGACTTGACTTCTTCGGACAACAGAACACCATCTCAAACGTCTCACATTCGTAATATCGCGGTATCACAACTTCCAAGATGTCTCACTCCACGGATGCAAGTCTTCCAAAAGTCGTGAGCGAGTTCTCGCTGAACATCTCGGATCCGATCTTGAACAAATCCAATGCCGACCTTGAGATGTCTGACACCATTAGTCCAGCTGGCGGTGTTGCAGACGGAGATTGCTCGGTTATTGGCACATCAGCGGTGGCTGGAGAGCAAGAAGATCCTGCGAACAGATATGAAGGACCTTTGAAAGCTAGGCTTTATGCCTTGGACTGCTACAAGGATTTCATTGAGAGGTCTGAGAAGTTATGCTACGGAGAGTACGCCGATAAGTTGAAGGCACACGTTCTTCTGATGAGAGTTCAGTTGAAGCTCGGATTCGAACAGTTGGAGAGTGAACATCTCGTTCACAAGGACATCGAGAAGGAGGTGATTGAATACTTTAGGCAAAGTAACGCGCCAACTGGAGAGCACACCGATCCGCTTCTTTATAAAATGGTGAGCAGGCAGATCGAGAAGCTTGAACTATCAAAGCAGACAGCTGTTTCGCCTTCCGAAGGCATCTCCCAGTTCTGGAACATTTTCTACACTGGCCTTCCTGATCCAATGAAGTTGCCTCCGGCAATAAGCGCCCGGGGAGACCGAATGGAGGAATGAATCTAGGACATAAAGGTGCTCCCTAAGTGCTTAGTAAGTAGACTAGCATCTTAGAACCCACAGGGCCAGGACTAAATAGACTGCTCCGTTCGGAGAGAGTTTTCGATAGTGAGGAGAGTTTTGCGATGGTTTCACGAAAAGTTAGACGCAATTTGCAGATATGGCGGATGATGACAATCGATGTTTAGCAATGGACTTTCAGTGCGACCCAAACTTCTTCCACATCTTGTTTACTCCTACGTGAAATCTCGAGGCAAGAACATAGGAAGTCCAACTCTTTATCTGGAGAAGTCTACCATAAGGTTACAGAACACTCGAGCACATGTGAAATGTGTTCGTCTTCGAGCACGTTATCAGGAACAAGCTAGCATAGACATCAGCATCTTCTCACACTTCGTCTTCACGCAGAGGAGTGGCAACCTCCGCAGTCAAAACTAAAACAAGTGGAAATAATATTTTGCATGATCTTCCACCAAAGTTAACACATCATTATATCATTTTCTCAGAGATCCAAGACTATCCTACCAATACCCCTCGAAACACAACTCAGCATTGAACCTTCTTTCTCGTCATCCAGCAGTCCAGTCCCTCTATGCTCCACCCTTCCACTTTTCACTCCAACTCTACACGTCCCACAATTACCAACCTCACAAGAACTTCCCACATCGAATCCAGCATCTCTCAAAACATCCAACAGTGTCTCTTCCTGCTTGATATCCAAAGTCTTCTCGGACTTAGCCAAATCGACCGTAAATGGATCTCCAGATGTCGACGCCGTAAACGCTTCCGAATGAATGTTCGACTGCGGAAATCCGAGAGTAGTAGCTGCTGCTTTCACAGCATCTAGCAATCTCTCAGGTCCACAAACGTATACATGCGTGCGGAAATCTCCTTTACCCAGAATCTCAGAGACGTTCAATCGTTGACCTTTGGATTTGTCCATGATGTGAACATTGTCTCCAAGGTCTGCGAGGAGACTTGAGAAAGCAACGTCTTCGGAAGAGCGGACAGCGTAGTATAACTTGTACTTTAGCTGACGGGTCTTCATCGCTTGGGCACTGGTAATAAATGCCGTGATCCCAATACCGCCAGCTATCAGAATGTGGTTGTCTGCATCTTCCTCTAGTGGAAAGTCCGATTTCATCTCACTGAATGGAAGAATATCTCCAACTTTGACTTTTTCGTGAAGATACTTTGAACCTCCACGAGATCCCTCCTCCAATGAGATTCCCAGCTCAAAGCGGTTGCTGTCACCTCCCACTACCGAGTATGCTCGCACAAGCTTGCTGCCTTCTCCCAATTTCACACGGACGTGAGATCCAGGTTGGACTTTTGTACTTGGCTCGTGTGGAGTGACAGCTTCAAAAGTAAATGAGTATATCCTTGGCGTCTCTCTTCTTTTACTGATGACTCGGTACGGGTTCCACTTCAGAACGTTCTCTTCTCCACCGATCAACCTGTCGTTATCTTCTCGGAAGACTCCTTTCTGTAACCGGCCCAGGAAGACGTCTCTCGTTTCCTCTCCCAGCTCTTTCATATAAGCAAGCTCCTTCATCACTTCCGCGTTCTTTCTTTCCCTGTACAGATACCACTGCACTTGAATCATTGTCCATTGCGGATGTGGTCTTTCTAACAAGACAATCTCATCTCCAGCCTTGATATAGCCCTCCTTGAGAACGCGATAGTACCATCCAGTCTTATTGGCATCCTGACTTCGCTTACTCATGTCCTTAACCTGGAACCGGTGATTCAATTTGAAGCACGGCGCTCTCGGTTCGCTGACTTGGATCACAACCTCTTCACCAAAACGGTAAATATCCCCAACGCAAACGTTCTCCTCACTCATATATTCGTGTTGCGTGACGATGTTCTCGCCAAAACCCCCTTTCTTGAAGAGCGGAGCACTTTGAGGCAGCTCCTTTTGCCAGAAAGGGTAATGCTGCGAGGCGTATTGCATGACGGCTTTCTCTGGACTCTGATGCGGGGGGTGGACTCGCTCATCTCCCTGCAGTCCGATGGTGTTGACTTTTACTGGCTGTGAGTGAGGAGTTTTGAAGATTCCGGACATGGTAGAGAGGCCGTGGAAGGGTCTTGCCTTTCCGGTGCGGACCTGTTCAATTGTGTCAATGTATTGAGGGAGAGCATTCTGAATGTTTGGTTCGGACCACGAACCCATGATGATGATTGTTTTGTTGAATGAGGAAGTCAAAAGCTGTCAGTAATTGAGAGTTGAAGGATTGATAAGAGCAAAGTTGTAGATATTGCAGAGCACTACGGCATTGGAGCCTGGAGAATGGGGTTTTCGGCGGCTTCCGAATCTCACTTGAAAGCCCTGCTCCGCACTCCGTACGGAGTAACATTACTTCCTGAATAGCCAGACACAATTGTCAGTGGAATATGTGGACCAAGCCGGTGAGTGAGTGATGGTGGCAAGTTGCATCTCCCGAACGTGCAGATTATTAAAAAGATAATAAAGTGTTCACCAACAGTAGTAAACTTCAGTAGAGATGTTCTTCGCCCCTTTACTTACCGAAATGCCACTTATCTTCAATGCCCTTTGATGATGTCAGCAGCCAAGTGCCACAGAACACAGAAGCCAAAAAAAAAAAAAAAAAAACATGCTCTATACAGGTTCACAATAGCATACAATGATCAATCGTATGAGGCTGCAAATCTCAGAACTAGAAAAAAATTACAGGGAAGGGTAGAGCAATGGCACGCTGCTGAGCATACCTTGACTTCATACCCCCAGATGGCAAAAGCTGTGTCAATGTACGAAATAGGACTTATAAATTTATCCAAAAACAAAACAATAGTCGCACTGGGGATCGAACCCAGAACCATCTCGGTTTGTTGCTCAGAATGTGAACGAGATATCATAACTGTTATGTCAGATATTGAAGTGAAAGTACGGCAGCGACATAAACTAACCCATTAGACCATGCGACTTTTCCTCATAATGCGGTGAAGCTGGCAGAAAATTGCTTATTGCAATTTATGAAAGAAGTAGGAAAACTTCTTCTCTGAGTGTAACGGATGTTCTATTAATAGCATCGTTGGGGTGGAAAGGAAGGACTTGAAACGCAGCAATCAATTCGAGAACAGAGCATATGCAGAGCACAAGAAATAGGGGCAAACTTTCTCCTATATCGGAAAGCTAAATATTGAGCAAGAATATAAAATATCCTTGCTTTGTTGTTGTGTTGTAATTGTTGCGCCTGCCGATTTTGTTCGTTGTCGTCGTGCATCACGGAGCTTTCCATCATCACAACCTCGAACCTCGAATTCACCAGCTTCTCCAGAACACCAACCCCTTTCGCTCCGTGCTGTCGAATATTGATATCAACCTGCGCGCCTTTGTTTGCCCCAATCTCGAGTCCGAATGGCAGGTCGTTTCGTGCGCGCGTCGAAATATCGTAAGCTTCGCAAACAAAAGGGCACGAGGGCAGGCTGACAGGACAATAGGACATGTCTTTGGAAAGCCCACAAGAAAGGAAGCTTGCTATGACAACTTGCACATCAGTCGCAATGCTTGGGACACAAACTTGGTGAAGGTGTGAACCTGCATATGAGCGTTTGACGCTGGAGCTGAATCGATCTAGGCAAATCCCGAATACCTTGCTGTCAATTGGGAAGCAAGTGGTGGAGGCGCCTTTGCTGTTATACCTGTCAATGAGAAGGGCAGACTTCCAGAGCAGATCCCTCTCTTCCGCGGACATACTGCGCCGGTGTTGGATACAGATTGGTGGGTTGTGCATGGCGGGGTAGGAATTCTGCTGACAGCTTCAGGTCTCCGTTCAACGACCGACTCATAGCTTCTGGGTCTGATGATGGAAAGGTCTTCATATGGCAGGTTCCGCAAGGTTTCACATTATACAGTGATGCAGAAGAGCCTCAAGATGTTGCGCCGGTCAGCAAGTTGACTGGTCATTCGAGGTACGAGCGCCGTCAGAAATATGGACTATTTTAACATCTGGCAGGAAAGTCGGACAAGTTCTGTTCAATCCCGCAGCAGAGAATATCCTTGCCTCGGCATCTGGCGACTATACAATCAAGCTATGGGATGTAGGAACGAGCAAATCGCATTTGACTCTGAAACATGGAGATATCGTGCAGAGCTTATCATGGAGCGCAAATGGGTCGATGTTAGTAACGACATCTCGAGACAAGAAACTTCGAATATGGGATGTTCGACAAGAGAGACCTGCACACGAGGTTCCAGGACATACTGGAGCGAAGAATAGCAGAGTCGTATGGATGGGCGAGCATAATCGGGTTGCAACAACGGGTTTCTCGAAAATGAGTGATCGCCAGATGGCTTTATGGGATGTTGGTAGCCCCGCAGAACCGATTGGAGGCTTTGCTGTCTTGGATTCGATCTCTGGTGTTTGCATGCCGTTTTGGGGTAAGTTATCTAGAAGTAGGTGGAAGTGCTGTGGCTGACAATAAAACAGATGATGGTACTCAATGTCTGTACTTGGCTGGCAAAGGGTGAGTTGGGAAGTCATGCTCAGAGAATATTGCTGACTAGATAGTGATGGAAACATTCGATACTTTGAGTACGAGAACGACAAGTTCGAATTTCTTTCCGAATACAAATCTGCAGATCCTCAAAGAGGTATTGCTTTTGTTCCGAGACGTGGCATAAATGTGAGTTGCACCGAGAAAGTACTGGAACGATCCTGACAAGACTAGGTTCACGAGAATGAAGTTATGCGAGCATATAAAACTGTCAACGACAGCTACATCGAACCTATATCGTTCACAGTCCCAAGACGAGCAGAAGTCTTCCAATCCGACATCTATCCACCCGCCATTGGCTTGAAGCCAGCAATGTCAGCAGAGGAATGGTTGGGAGGAAAGGATGGTATTCCAGCCAAGATTGATTTGGAGAGTGTTTACGAGGGCAATGCGCCTGTTGAAGTAGCAGCAGACTACAAACCTCCTACACCCGCACCAGCTCCTTCGCCATCTAAAGCGCCAGCTCCAAAGAAGGAGGAGCCAGCGCCTACGCCAATACATAGGTCTCCACCTCCAACCATGTCTGAGCAGAAGGGATCTATTGCCGCTATGGCTTCAAAGTTCCAAGATGATGATGGAGCAGATGATGACGAGGATGAAACATCAAGTTTCGAGGAGATTTCGAAACCAGTCCAGAGGTCTATTCCGGCTGCGGCCAAAGTTGAGTCGAAGCCAATGTCACCACCACCAACAAAGACTGAACCCCCAAAGCCGTCTCCTGTTGCACAAGCTACCCCGAGACAGCCTCCTGCTGCATCCCCGACATCAACTATGCCCAAATCTTCGGGTCCGATCGCAGCTGCTGGTTCTAGTAACGGTTCTGTGGATGAGACTTTGCAACAGATCAAGTCCATTCTTGAGGCCCAAACAAGAACGATCACTGCCCAAAGTGAGAAAATCGGTCAACTGGCGCAAGAGGTTGATACATTGAAGATGAAGGTTGGAGGTGGATCTCCGGATCAGAGCGAGAGAATCAGACAATTGGAATTAGAATTGGAGGCTGCTCGGTCATAGATGCGGCAGAGATGTCAGCATAGAAGGGACATCACAACGGAGGCAAAATATCGTGTTGGAGTCTTCGTGCAGTCAGGATTAGCGAAATGAAGAGCATGGAATATGCACGCTCGACATCATTATCATGTCCCGAGTTTCCTTTTCTATTGGTCAAGTGACAAAATGAATTTAGAGATTGCGTGTTCGGCCTCAAGTTGTACACAGACTCGATGATCGTGATGTTGCGAACCTGCTTTCCCTCTGGCATCTTCTTATTTCTTAGATCTCTGTGCTAAGGTCTTGTATCATTTTCTGTTGTCTGGTATCTGCGTCGCCCATCCCAATCCAGCTCTTTCGCAGTATTTTCATATCCTTGCAGCGCTCGCTGGTTGGTGTAGACTTAGACAACATGATCAAGACAAGTCTCATTTATCTTCATGCCAAGACCTGAATATTTGCCACAAAGAAGTCTCTTGGTTAACTTGAGCATGAGATCCTGACCCTGGTTTTACTTGCTACCCGTTTGTTCGTGGAATAACTATGACGATAATTTCGAGGAATCTGCCTTGACCTCGAAAAGGAAATTGAGCGTTGAATTGCGGAGGCGGAGCACAACTAGCGCGGCTGTGCATTCTCCACAACACGAGATATATCACAACAACATGTCTCATTCTCTCTGTGCTAGACTATCCGAGATTTTATCCATTCTTAAGTCTGAACTTTCTCCGAGTTACTGCAATATGTGTGGGGTTCTCATTACATGGTGCATAGGTCGTAACAACAACGGACCGATTGGAACCGACAACCAAGTCAGAGGAGAAGCAATCAATACTAGAGTCGTGAAGTCGAATCCTGTTAATCCTTCGCCGGATACGAAGTCGAAAAGCAAGGGCGAGGGCGATGGCATAGCACAGCCAGAGAGGGCGGTTTATCCTAAGCAGGAGGGCAACTCACATGAAGAAGATTCGAGGGTGAAGGTTGGGACAGAAGATCCAGATACTAGTCTTCATAGGTAAAGGACCCATTTCATACAAGCAGATTCCGGAGGATGAGTGATTGCAATGGGCATTACTAATTTTGTAATTCTAGCAACGAACCCAAGAAGTCAAGCCACGTCTGCGATGCCTTCTCAGACTTCACCAACTCCCTCGTTATACGAGCAGGGCATTAGAGCCGGTTTCCCATATCCCATAACCCCTTCTCCATCACAACGAACCGCCACGCTGGACCCAGAAATCTCACGCCTTTCCATCAGCAGCAAGAATGCTCTTCACTTTCGTCACCTTCTCGGAGAAGTGCTGTTTCTTGTCGGTACTAGACAGGAAACTTAGATTGGATTCGGTTCATTTAGAGGAGAATAAGTGGGAGACAAACCGTGTTCCGGCTCGGATGTCGGTTTGGACTCTGAGTACACCGTTTTGGTGGACGAGGGTGTGGGCTTGGCCGATGAGGCGCATTACTTCGTCCCATGTGCCTTCTGTGAGAGATGTTAGACTTTATAGTACATATTATACTCCATGAACGTAGATAAAGCAATGAGAAAAACCGAATTTCATTTGAAGGGTTCCCTGGGAACTACGGAACATGCTTTCATGACTTTCACGTGACAGTCCCATCTCGCATTTTCTCTCCAAAGAGGGCTCTACCTAGGTATGAAGAAATGCAGGAATTACGAAGGGACAATTTGCATAACATAAAAGCCAGCAGGAAAGATTCAACTCACCAACCGTTGTTCCCGCACTATGCATCGAATAGCTCAGGCCACTCGCCTTCATCAATCTTTGGACAGCCGCAACTTCATTTGATACGGACGCGGTGGGCGTGCCAATCTAAGATATGTTAGTCTTGTGGATAATCAAATTATGATATATTCGAATTACCGGTATGAGACAGAAGTCCGCAACGCATGCTGGTGGCGTTGGAAGGTTTGTGTACTCGATCTTTTCTGACATGATGAAGTGGGGTAGCGGGGTAATTTTTCTGGTGAGATTGGAAATCGTTTTCTGGAAGAGGGGTCTTGAACGTCCTTGAGTGAGATATTGAATTTACGAAGCCAGGTTTGAGAATGTGAGAATGCTGAAGCTGGATGTAGGGAAACGATTTGAAGAATGGAATGACGACAATTTAGGTATCACGTGTTGGTCATTTTCTCAGACAATGAAACCATCTTTTTTCCATCTATTGAACATATCTACCCTAAGCTACAATCTAGAGAAGAGAGACACCATCAACGTTATTCTCCAGCTCTTCCACTTCCTTTCCACTTCGGCCCAATTTTACCTCTCTGTCTTGCGCTTCAGCAAGTCTCCAATCTACTACCACTGGGATGCCTTGGAAGCTTCTCTTCGCCCAATGCCAACGACTTATCTCCTCCTGTCACAAGCTCTTTGACCCAATTGATTCCACTTTCCCAATACAAATGTCGATCAGGTCGCATTCCCTCCATCTCCAAGCTCTCGGTATCCAAACTTCCTAGCACAATATCAATCATAGGTGTTGCCTCCGGTTCTCCCTTCCCCGCATAAAAGTACGCCAAATTCGTACCGCATCGTCCACAGAAGGTTCTTGTAACTCCAGGACTGGAAGCATAGTTTGCCACGGGTGAAGCGCCAGGAACACTTTTCAACACATCTTTAGTCGATGTCGTGACCCAAGTCCGGACTTTCTCTTCAGACGGTAGAGGTCCCGTGGAGCCAACGGACCACTCAAGCCATTCTTGAGGACAACTCAGCCAGGCTTGAACGAGAGCACCGCTTACTCGTCGACATTTGTTGCAATGATCGAAGAAAATCTTGAGAAGACGATTTTCCTCTGACGGAGTGGTTGTTCCTGCTGGAACGGAGATTGTGTAGCGAACGGCTGTGCAGTCGCAGCCGCCGTGCAGTGTGAAGGGTCCAGACGGAAGTGGAGACATCAGGACAGTAGCTTTGTTCAGAGCGATGATCTTAATCAGCAGGCCAACGACAACGTGGATAAATCGCTAGGTAGTCTGCGGATTGTGAAGATATACTTCTTCAAAATACAGGAGATGTCGCATGATGACGGGGTTATTATCTGCCGAATGCATGCTGGTAAATGACTCGGGATACTCAAAGCAGACAGACGAGTGCGGAATGACGGCGCCCGAATAAAGGTCACGATGCAGGAAAGTGGATGATCATTCCAAAAAGAAACATGTGCAACTACAACCAAAACGTAGGGAAAGGCATGCTGTTGGGTGGCACAGTGTAAGTATAATGTGTGCTGAGATATATGACCTTTCAGACTTCACAGATTTTAAAAAAAAAAAAAGAAGCTTGTGTGAAAGGCTGATTGGGACCAGAGGGAAGATAGAAAGGAGTGTCAAAGCCGGAAGAGGTTCGAGATTCCAGTAAGACCATAAATATGGGCTGAGGTATGAGACACTTTAGCGTCCGTTCGCCTCGACCCGCAAATGTAAATCCTCCATCCACCAGTGATCCCTCATCCGACACCTGAGCCTCAATGTCTTTGATGGAAGGTCTTCGTCCACCTCCCGCTTCTCCTCGACTGTAATCATCAACTCTTTCACATCTGCATTTGGCGATTAGTCATTTATTCCCTGTCTTGCCCATGTTCTACAAGAACAGATGCGGCCTTGGGAAAGCCACAAGTCTATCATTTCATCTTGTGCACTCGGAAAAGCTCCTCATCTGGACGCACTTCCGGTTATGGAGCCTCAGCCGCAGACGTCAATCCGTCCAATATGTTCGCTTCTACTTGCAATTTCTTTTCCATGATCCTTCCGCTTTCACTTGACGAGTGTCGCCATGCTTGACTCGAATTTGGGGTCCAAGAAGGAAGCAGATAGCCGTTGGGTTTCTGGAACAATGAATGGATACGAGTGCAGCACTTCCCTTTTTGGGCGGCTTCTAGGAGTGTACGTCGTACACTGTACGACGCCTGCTCGCCGATTATGCTTCGACTTCGTCTGGTCTCATCCTTTATCGTCCTCGAAAATATGAATTTGGAGCGGCAGCATGGCTAATATTGTAAGTTGAATGAGGAATAGAACAAAATGTCACTGACAGAAACAGAATTACGAGGAGGTATATCCTACTCACATATCTCACCTTGAGTCTCCCATGTACAGCCACAATGCCTCCGAAAATCAGCAGAATGTTCCACCAGAGGTAGTTCGGGACGAAGTCGGCTTGGAGCATGACCCATCTCAAGCTCAGAACTTCATTTCAGACAAGGGCAAATTCCAAGAGTTGGTCGCCAGTGTACCAGCAACCCCTCAATATGCTCGTGACGACAAGATGGCGATGGCAGGTGAAGATGCGGGACCGAGCGAGCCTAGGAAGTATTGCGGGATGTCGAAAAAGATGATGTATGCTGTGTCGGCCCTCGTCGTCATTATTGTTATTGTAGCGGTAGTAGGAGCTGTTGGTGGTGCAGTGGCGTCAAAGAAGAGTTCCAAATCGACATCCGTATCGCCTACCTCAACATCTTCTGCAACTGGAGTATCTGCTACTTCTTCGGCTACCCCATCCGCGACAGCAGCTTCAAGTGCAAAGCTAGGAGCCATTGCAGCGAGTAACTTCCAGGATGATAAAAGTTATCTCTCAGTATACTACCAGACGGGTTCAGACATTATGTATATGATATATCCATCAAGTGGAAGTTTTTCCTCGCTTCAGAACTTAACGCTTTCCACGACGCCAAAGACTGGAACACCACTTGCAGCTGTCTCTGTGAATGGGACATCTGGAGCAGAGGTAAATGCCTTTGTGTACTGCAAAAGCCGAGCTAACTATCTGTAGCTTTCGCTTTACTACCTAGATACATTCAACAACATCATCGAAGCGACATTCAGCAGCAGCCTCTCCTCCACAACACTTACTTCGAACGCAATAACAGTCATTGCATTAAACAGTACAGTCTCCCCCTTAACCTCACTTGCAGCTCTCTACCTCGATGGGTATGGATATCGCGCATATTATCAGAATACGACCGGATATATCTACGAGCTAGTGAATGGCGGATCGGCTTGGAAAGCTGGCTCAAAGCTCAGTGCATTGGCAACTTCAGGCTCTCCACTTTCTGCGAGTATGGTAACAGTGCCACACATCAATATCTTCTACATTGGAGAAACCGTGGATGAGTTGTATAACATTGCCTACGACTCTTCATGGCTAGCCAGTAAAATCCATCTCCCGCCTCTTTGACCATAGCTAATAGATCCCAGCCAAAATGGTAACAAGCGGCACGCTCACTTCGTGGAACTCATCAATCTCATCTCTTGCTTCAGCTGGACAATCTGATCCCAACATCCTACGCACGTATTACATTGGCAGTGACGAAGAAATCTACGAGTTTGGAATTGAGTCAAACTCGACCTGGACAACAATGACTGCTGCTCCCGATCAATCTCCTCATTGGTCCACAAGCGATAGTGTTGGCCCTGGTGCGATTGCAAGTCTGGGTTGGAGTGATCAGATGAGGTTGTATTATTTTCATGGGGGAAATTTGAGGCAGGCGACGTTGGATAATACAACTTGGAGTGTGCAGGATCTTGTCACAGTTTAGGAAGGGCATTGGTCGGCCGGAGATGGATATGGGAGTTCGTGTATATATGTTTCAAAGAGAGTAGGAAGTCGAATTCCGCTACCATCCAATTGATCATGTTTGCTGTACATGGGGACCAAAAAATTATCTTGTTAGGAATTACTTTCGAGAAATGCTCTCCGCAACCTCACTTGAGTTAATGGACGTCTGAAAAGGGCCTTTTGACAAGCGGCGAGATGGAATTTACGAAAAGTGCTCTGTGACGTTTCTTCACATGGAGTGGGATGTGAAGTAAGGGGATGGTGGTCTATGGAATGGAGAAGACTTATAAAGTTTGAGAGCTTGAATTGATGATGCGATTCCTGTTCGTACACCTGACTCTTATTCGCCCATTGCCCAACGCCATAATCAATGCCCGTTCCTAGAAAACCTCCCCTGCCACTCTGGACGCAATATTGATCCCGAATCCAATCTTCCCAGCTGCAAACACCTCCGCAAATGTTTAACAAAAGGCCAGCACTTCACATCAACCCGATCGTGACGTCTCCCTTCACTCTGGCATACAGATCAACCTCAACCTCGAGATCCAATTCAATCTTAATGCTTATGCTTCCCTCCCTAGCTCCCTTGCTCGCTGGCCTATCCTTAATTCTAGACTCGCGGATGGGATAAGATCTGCCATTGTCGTAGGTGCGGTAGTGAGGTCTAGATTCGACCTCCGATTTCTGCTGAGACATCTGTTGCAATTGCTGATTTTGCGCGACCCCATCCTCTGGGATCTCGTCTAGAGCCGTGTTCGCATATTGGGTTTTCTCGGCCATTGGAGCAGAACTTGGTTCTTTCTTCTGCAGCATATTTGTCAGGCCTGAACGGGAAAGATGATGGATTGGGACAGCACTTACATGTTGGTAGGATGAAGGAGAGTATATGAAAGATAGATCGAATCGAGGCAAACTTGGCCGGCGGTGATTATTTTGAGAAAGAATGATGATAGCTAGAGCTCGTGAAAATAAAAAGAAGAGGTTTGATATGGGAGCTAAACACTTGAAGAATAAGTTGTGGAATGCAAGATGACGGCACTTGGAAGTTGGACGTGCTGTTGTGTTCGCTTCGAAAACAGGTATTTTCAGGGGGGAAATCAGGTTCGGGGTGGGATGTGGGGTATGTCAATGCGAGGGTGAAGCTTGCATCGCGAGATAAATCTTCGAGATGCAACAGTGGAACGAAAAGAATTCGAGAAAGAAAAATGCTGAAAGAATAAATGTTTACTTGGAGATGCCAGATCTATAAACTTCTCGTGCTATTGCTATGCTATGTAGGACTTAGAAGGGAATTGCAATGTTGTACCTCCCATTGAAGACAGGGATTCCCACCCCGCGTTTCTTGCGTCATAGGCGCCAGGGAGCGTGGCAAGAAACGGCTGTCCTTGACTTGGACGGATTCAAATCTGCATGGCGATTTCAGCCTCTTCATTATCCTTGGCCGACGAACCCCGACCGGAATTAGTCTTCTATTCTGAGCAAATAGTGAAGGGAACTTGATACCTTGAGGATCGGGACTGGACTCGAAGACTGGAAATCCAGGACTCTTGCAAACCTCGAAAGTATACGAACCAGATTTATGCCGCATTGTCTTTTCTTCCTCCCATGTGATATCTACTCACTTGGGATTTCAAAGTGACTTTCCATACATATTATCCTCAGCGTCTTGCAGCAATTAGCAGATACCTATTTCCATGCCTCCGAGATTCCAGAAGAGAGTATTGCAGTGGTGCGTTCGTGATGTGGTCGAAACACACATGACATCCAACCTACCCGATCTCGAACTCCGAATAGGAACATCACCAGCTTTGTGCGCCAGGTCGATTGAATAAATCCATAATGCAAGCCTTTCAAGGCTCATCAGAAGAAGGCTGACAGGTCGTCGTCATCTTATGGAGCAGAAATTTCAGAGCCACATCGCCAAGGGAATAGCGCGTATCCGAAAATAGATGGCCGGGAGATCTTCAGCCACTGCCACCTTTCCAACCGCTAACAAATGTCTTCAACCTCTCAAACACCAACGCTTTCAATCCCCAACAGATGGAACTCCCAGCATGTCACCCACCGGTAAGCCTGACAAGCCTTCGCGACTGTTTCAGTATTTCAGCAGCTTATTTGATTGGCTCTCCCGACGAAAACTGGACTTCACTGCCGGCCTCAGATCCACTTTTCTCACACGGTGCGCGTTGCTGACGACGTGAATCTTCTGGATCGAGCTCGACGAGGCGCAGCTTTTCGTAAGGCGACTGCAAACTCTCCATATTCCAAGCCTCTTCTCTTTCTTTTCATAGCCATTTATTTTCTTTACATCTCTATATCATTCTCCTTAACTTCTCTTTTGTTTGTTTCCTTTCCTTGAATACAATCTTTCAAGAATTTCCTCGATTTGCCACAAATCTTCAACATGCGTCCTTCGTTCTTTGCTGCCTCAGCGGCACTACTATCACTCACAGGATCTGTACAGGCTATTCCACAAGGCGGCTTTGGTGGATTTGGATCATCATCAGCAGTATCATCGTCGACAGTGGCAACAGCAACAACGGGTTCATCATCCGCGGCCTCGGTATCCCAAGCAGCAGAGTCGACCAGCACAGTGGCATGCAACAATTCCCCAGAACTGTGCAATCGAAACTACAACAACATCACACATATGGGAGCCCACGATGCTGCCTTCTTAAGGGATAGCAGCACATCCTTCTCGACTTCTGGCAACCAATATTACAACGCCACCAAAGCTCTTTCAGCAGGTCTACGATTACTACAAGCGCAAGTACACAACTCGAATGGCACTCTCGAACTCTGCCATACTACGTGTACGTTGTTAGATGCTGGATCATTGGAGTCGTGGTTGGCAGACATCAAGACATGGATGGACGATAATGCCAACGAGGTTGTGACCCTTCTATTGGTTAACTCGGACGACGAGGATGCATCTACCTTCGGTACCGCCTTCGAAGCTTCAGGTATTTCAACATATGGCTATACTCCCACTTCTACGACTGGACCTATTTCGACTTGGCCAACGTTGCAGACGTTGATTACCGCCAATACTCGGCTTGTTACCTTCATTGCAAGCATTACATACGACAGCACATATCCTTACCTCCTTTCCGAATTCGACTACGTTTTCGAGACGGCATATGGCGTCTCATCTCTTTCAGGCTATAACTGCACTCTCAATCGCCCTACTACCCTCTCTTCCGCATCATCCGCCATCTCCTCCGGCTACATGGGCCTGACCAACCACTTCACAGACACAGCTGAGGCATTTGGTATCACCATCCCAGATGTCACTGATATCGAGACCACAAACTCATACGCCACAAACACAACAGGAACACTGGGAACGCAAGGAGCTCAGTGTGAAAGTGAATGGGGTACCAAGCCTACATTCATGCTGGTTGATTTCTGGAATGTTGGACCTAGCATCCAGACAGCGGATAATCTCAACGGGATTACAGCAACTGGACGGACCAATGTTTCGACAGCAGAATTGACGTCATCTAGCTCAAGTGCTGGTGTCAGAAGAGATGCAAAGGGTTGGTGCGGCATTGCTGCGTTGGCTTTGGGTGTAGTTGCCGTTGGTAACTTTGTTTGGTTATAAGATTTCGCATTATCAAATTGTTTACAGCGATGGCGTTGGGGTAGCATTCGGACGGTACATAGCATTGGGGTAGGAAACACTCAAATGAGTAGAACAGATATGTCCATGAAGACATCAGAACAAATTACATGATATACCCTTCAGTTGTATTTTCTTTTTGATGGAGTTGCCACTGTGAGACGTGCTTTTAGAATGACGGCCACCTATTTGAAGGGCATGTACGTGATGCTGCTGGCTGGATGTGCATTCCAAGTGATTATAGGCTTGGCTTGGAAGCCAATCACAACCGAAAAGGTACCTCTAGGTTTTCACTTTATGCTTCACTTTAAGAGTGATCCTAAGCTTGAGAGACTCGGTGACTCGATGCTCAGATGAGCTTCCGTTTCGATCTGTAACTGGACTGCAAACTTGATGCGCGGGGAAGTATTCTGGAATCGAAATTAACATTCTAAACTCAGGACTGGAAACTGCAGAATACTCCCATGTCAGGGATGTCTATCTAATTCAGCGGCCAGAGTCTTTTCTGTATGTCTTGAGATGCTGTTCTGCTTCCTCACAACTTTCTATTCCAAATCATGGAAACTTTCTATGATCGGTGACTCAGAATGTGCAAAGCTTGCCAGCGATGCTTCTACCCACCCTCCTGCTAACTCTCCAAACTGTTTCTATCATGAGGTGATCTCTTTCCTCATAAAAACCGCAGGAGCCTGCCAGATCTTCCCCGTGGGATCAACCTCTGACCACATATTCTCAACTTTCCTATAAATCTCATAACCTCTTCTTTCGTACCAGTCTTGGTTAGTGACCTATCGACATTAGCACTCTGCTGAGCAAATTCGCTAAGCCATACCTTTGGGACTGGCTTTCCATATGCAGCATGTTTGGCCACTCTCAGAGGATCGTCTTTGTCTGTCGTACTCAGTGCCAATCTTTTGGCGCACAGTGGCTCTGAGATCGCAGTTTTCTCTACAATGTCCATCGCCCCTCGGCCTATACCTGATCCTTGAAGGGCCTGCGAGACGTAGAATGTTGATATGAAGTAGGTCCCTGGAGAAGGATCATTGTATTCTGGACTCTCGTACTCGGTATCCAATGAAATATGACCAACTGGCACGAATTCTACCGTCGAATCTGGTTGTCGAGTCTTTCCCCCAAGTGATGCTGCGGTATCGACTAGAGTGGTGCTTTCCTGTGGGTGCGCTGTGAGATGCTTCGCCAGATAATCTTCGCAATTGGCATCCTCTACATGAATTACCTGTTGACATCAGTGAAATTCGATCTCCGAGACAAGGTCACTCACTATCCATTGCAAATTTTTCTTCCCCTCCCGCTGTCGAATCTGCCACTTGGGCACAGTATCTTGATGCCAGCCACAAGCGATTCTTTGTTGAACCATTCTCTCGGCGTGAGCCCGGGAATCTGGGTCCCAAGGGACAAGTACCACTTTGGTGGAGGCTGAACGTGCGGTTGATCCCATTTTCAGATGAATCAAGCGTTGTGCCTGACACTCTTCAATATAAATGTCTTAGGTTTTCAGATCCGGCTTCCGATTATAAGCAAGGAACTAAATGAATTGAGGAACGCGTTGACTCACATTTTCTGAGGTCTGATACTGACTTCTATATAGCGTACCCCACTATCCGAATTAGGAAAGTGGGAGGGCGTACCGACATATTTATGGCCTCTACATGTCAAACTGGAGTTCTACAACCGACATGTATCAACATCGGCATTCCTCTTGCGCTTTCCTTTCGTACCATGGGCATATTGATGAAGAGAATTTCCATTGGCGGATTAGAGGTAACGATCAAGGGAAAGCTATGACCCATTCAATACCAATGATCGTGGAATGCCTGCGCCTATTTGCATCCATGAACAGTCACTAGCACTTCAACAACAAGCGATTGAAGGTTTGTCGGCTGCATTATTCTCTCAGGCTTCTAGAAGTAATGTCTTACAATGCCTATATTGCAATTATATATCAAACCAACGTGACCTCACGTGCAGGTCCAGTCAGCCAGACTTTACAGAACCTAGGCTCTGCAGCGTTCGATACTTCAAGACAAATCCGCCTAGAGAGAGGGAAGAAAACATTGGTTTCATTGGTTGGTAATGCCGCTGAGCCACAGCAGGGCTGACCGCGGGGTTGCCAACACAACTTCCATTTTCTTCTTTTCACTTCGCGATACTGGAAATAGCTCTTCCTTTCACGCTTTCTAATACTCAATCTTCGATATCTTAGCAACGGCTTTCTGTCCTCGGTTTTGCGAGTAGCATTTCTCGCTGCTTCTTGTTCTAGCCCTGCGGGGCGGGAAGGAGCTCAACCAGGCTGATTGTATGTAACTATCCGAAGCCATGGGCACCTCAATTCGGCGCCAGGTAAAGCCTGTTACAATAGACATCTATATTTTCATTCTTTTGCTACTTAGGGTACGCAAGATGGCAGATCCGATAAGCGTTCTCGGTGCCCTTTCTGCTGTTACTCAACTGGCGGATCAGCTAGCTCGAGTGATCAGTGCAGCAATTAATGTATACAAGCGATATAAAGATCCAAGATCAACCTTTGGTCAACTATCACAGGTCGAACAGGTGAGTTCGATCGAAGGTTCCACATCAGATCGTGGGTGAAGATGATAATATGTCATTGGCTGATCCTGGGACACAGCTCGTTCAAATTGCTGGCGTCATTAAGAGCAAACCTTCTTTGCAAAATTCTGCTGTTCAGAATGTCTTGGCCAATTGCCTTCAAGATGCAGAAAAACTTCGAGATATATTAGACAAGATAGTTGTGATAGATGGAACAGACTCGCGGAGACGACGGATCAAGAAGAGTTTAGCAGCGATGATGAAGGATAAAGAGGTTATGAGCATCTTGAACTCCTTAGAACGAGACAAGAGCGCTTTGCAACTTTGCATTTCGGTAATAGAGGCGTAAGTTCGAATTTGTGGTAATCTCAAGCATCTATTGAGTGGCTGACGGTCGGAGTAGGTCCAATATTGCCGATATTTCTGCGATAACGAGAGGGACTTCCTCAAATGTAGATGAACTGCTGAAGTTTTTCCCCGAGATTAGAGATTTAATCAACAACGGACTATCAAAACTTTCCAAGCTTTCTGTGAGTGCGCCCCCGCCGTGAAGAAAAGGTCTATTGAGCTGAGACGATAGCTAATGTAGGGCAGTCCACAATAGTTTCCGATGACACACTCGAGCCGACGAATTACTTCCTTGTTCCAAACGGCCGACTTGTATCGGAATTTGTGGGACGCACGGATATCCTTGAGAAAATCGAGTCAGGGTTCTTGGCACCTTTCCGGAGAGGCTCTCGCATCGTCGTCTTGCATGGACTCGGAGGCCAAGGCAAAACTCAGATCGCACTCGAGATCTGCCGTAGAGCTAAAGCCAAGGGCACAAACGCAATATTCTGGGTTGACGCAAGCTCCGCCCATACGGTCAAGAAGAGTTTCAAAACAATCGCTGAGGCTACCAAGAGGCCTCATGAGCATGTACCGGATGACGCGATAGACATGATCTTATCAAAGTTTGGTGATTGGCCATTGTCATGGATCATGGTGTTCGATAATTACGACGATGTCCGAGGATTCGATGATATTGGAGATCTGATCCCCAATGGAGCAAATGGATGCGTACTTATTACCAGTAGAAACTCGGAGTCCTCCCAGTTGGCGTCCACATCAGACTGTTCCATTGAGCTGCTAGGCCTTTCTGAAAAGGATGCGTTAGAAGTCCTTTTCAATAATGCTAAACAACAAGCGAATGAGAAGGTGCTAGACCATGCGAAGAAAATTGTCCATCGGCTCGTATACCACTCCTTGGCGATTACTCAGGCCGGCTCGTACATTCGACAGAAGAAGATACACTTGGATCAATTCCTAGGATATTATGAAACTCACAGGGCCAACATACTGAGGCATACTCCCCAACTGACTCGGTACAGACGACACTTGAGTGAAGGTGAGAAGGAAACATCGCTAAATGTGTTCACAACGTGGGAGTTGTCCTTCGAACAGCTGCTCCACCTGCCAGCTGGAGACAACAAAGCAGCTCTCTTGATCCTTCTCGCATTTTTTGACTGCAAGGATATCTCGGAGGAGTTGTTCATCGACTATACTGATAGAGCACAAAGGAATCCCTGGTGTTATGATTGGCCAGTCCCATGTCTAGAATATTGCCTAGGAGAAGAATTGAAAGACGAGATCCCTACTCCCTTGAACGCGCTTTTGGAAGTAGTCAGACCATGGGACGGCGATTTATTCATTGAGATAGTGAGCGAGCTTGCACAATTGTCACTTGTGCAATCCTGGTCAAGGCACGACGAGAACATTTGCCAATTGACCATATATCCTCTTGTGAGGGACTGGATTCGACTCAGAACCGAACCAGATGTATGCAACAAGTTCTGTATCGTGTAAGTAGGATTATTGTTGTCTCATTCATCAAAAGGCCTTCTTGCTGATTAGAGTTAAGGTCGGGCAAAGTCCTAGCTGCCACGCTCGAGGCGCACTCTGATGGCTATTTCTTCCACTTTTCTCTCCCCGCTACGCAAGCTCTTTTTTCGCACATTGAAGTATACAACGAGAATCTTGAAATTCTAGAGGCTCGTCACGAGGGTACGAAGGATTGGCATCATGAGAGGTTGGACGTCGTTGATGAGATTATCGGCGACTTCTTGTATCGATCGCGCCAAAATGACGAAAGTTCTGTCTTCGCACAACGAGTTCTCGATGCTAGATTGAGAGAGCTTGGTCAAACTCATTCAGACAGTCTGCGTGCTAAGACACAAATCGCAACGATGCTCTCTGCGGATCACCAGTACGAGCAAGCTGTAAGCATCATCAGGGAAGTGTTGGAGACACAAGAAGCCAATCTACCTCCTGATGACCCAGAAGTACTCAAAACTATGATCAGCTTATCGTGGGCATTACAGAAAACTAGTAACACGGAGAATCTAGGAGAAGCAGAAATGTTGGCTCGTACGATTGTCAATACACGATTATTAGAGCTCGGACTTGAGGACGAGAAGACGTTGAAAAGTTTGCACCACTTGGCGAACATACTTCGAAAGCTGAGGAAATACGATGAGGCGGAAGGAATCACACGTGTTGTTATGGACGTCTGTTTCGAAATACTTCCGCCGAACCACAGCCAAACACTTTGCATCCTACATGATTTCATTCTAGTACTTCGTGCACAGGAAAAATACGAGGAATCAGAGACCGTATTACGCGAGTGTATTGCGGGACAGGACATGGGTGATGAGAATCCGGAAAGGTACTTCCTACTCGGGACACTGGCTTTTATTCTTCGCAAGAGAGGCAAACATCAGGAGGCAGTTGAGTCCTTGAAGCAAGCTATTGCTGGGTTCGGAAAGATTCTTGGCCCAGAGCACCAAACAACGCTCCGATACTCCAAAAAATTGTCGAAGCTTCTGGGCGAGATTATTGGGAATGGACAAAATACAGCACCTTCGGCAGAGAATACTGGTTCTAGTATCAGCAGCGAGGAAGTCCAGCTGACCCAGCAAGTACGAATAGGAACAGCACTCTTCATATCGTGAGATGGGCCTTGGACGTTCAGCATAATTCATCCGTCAAATATACAGGCGGATATCTCACGTCATACATATACACTTGTACAAGAGCTCCTAGAATCTTTCCAATAATGTTAATCAGTTTGAGTATACTCCTGAGACAACTACAAGCTCCAGCTGCTGCCCTCGACCGTCTCTACCCTAGTGGTTTGTCCTTTTGAATCATACCAGTAGATGTGGAGAGCGCGAGATAATAGTTCTTCCCCGTTTAAAAAAAAGAGCAGCTTCATGTAGTTTGTGGATCAGGTGACTAGCCGACTACGTATTTAGAAAATATTCTACTTAAAAAGATGTCGGTAGCTAAGATGGAAGCTAAGTATACGTCACAGAAGTTACTCAAACAGCTACGTATCCCAACAGTATCATGATATCTCGGTGACAGTCCCATTCTCGCGCCCGCGGCACAACTAGTACAAAGAAGTGGTAGATTTCACCCTGATCTCTCTCCCATAAGCAGCCTCCTGTCTTTCCAAGTCAAAATCTTCCCGCGGAGCCGCAGACGCGTACGCTGATGTAGAGATCTTAGGCGCCCAATCGGCACGTGGTGGCATGGATGAATTCGATACGCTGCTGTCACTGTTGCGACCAAAAGGTTGTTGCTGATGCAGTGTGGCCTTCTTCTCTCCTGTACTGCTTGCCAAACTTCTCCGACTGGAGAAGTAGCTACGTAGACGGGAGAAGAAGCCGAAATGGCTGTCTTTGAATAGAGGTGCGAGAGTTGGTAGACAAGCTGCGATTACTGAGCAGCAAGGCTCGATGTTGGACCATAGAAATATGAGGGTTACAGTTCCTGACACAATGTGAGTAAGGGTTTTGAAAGAATATGCAGAAGGTGCTTACTCGAAAAGCCATCGTAGTTTTCGCCGGTGTAGAGGTGAGAGAATTGAACGAAGTAGTGGAGACGAACGGAAGATGCTACGACACAGCTATAGAGTACAGGTTAATAGGTGCACACATGTGATCCATGTGGAGAATATCACTTACAATAAACCCAAAGAGAAGATACCGACAACAGAGAGCTTGCGCTTCGTGTCAAGATGAAGGCCCTTGATCAAAGGAATCGGAAGTGCGAGCACGGCGATATCAATGATGATATCTGTGTACGAACTGGCTACCAACATAGCGGCAACATTATATCGTGGATGTCCCAAGTGAGTCCAAGAATCTGAGATGGGGTCACCAGCAAAAAGCATGACCTATGGCACTTAGTTCTGGGAGCTTTTAGTAATGCGGAGAGAAATACCAAGAAGAATGCAATGAACCACGCAATGATAATGCCAATCACAACATTGGCAATTATGGGGAATCTGGTGACGGAAAATAGACGTCTGTAGAAGAGTAGAACGGAGATTTTGACAAGGGCGAGAGCTGCGAGCGAGATAAATTCGCTAGCAAATAGAAGCTATGATTTTGAGTCAGTCAACCAATACTCATTGACAAGTGAATGGATGATCCGCGAACCTTATCAAACGTCGAAATCTGGAGAGGAGACATGACTAGAACACTGGTACCAATGGATCCATAACCAGCACCCCATGCTGTCATGATAGCATGAGCCACAGATAAAATCTAGGTACAGTCAGTGAAGAGCAACTCGAAGAGGCGTTCACAAACGTACTGCTGCACAAAGAAGGACCCAGTCATCTGGTCCATAAGTCGCCAATTTCCCTGAGCGTGCAATGAAGCGTAGCACAGTGAAGAGAATAGTGAGGATGGCGAAGACGACGCAAACAACAAAGATGGTCACAGACAATGAAGTGTGCCATCCGCTCACTGGCGGTAATGCTTCCATGACGGGCAGAGAGGTTGTTGCAGTTCAAAGAGTAAGTCTGCTGAGAACGATACACTCAAATCCTTTTCCGCCTCTATGTCTTGGATTGAAAAGATGTAGGCGGTATAAAGTGACTGAACTAAATCTATGCAGAACATCAGGGGGAGACCCGAAAACCGCTGGCTGGGATTGACCTTTCCTCAGCTTCTTCGAATAAGGAAGGTTACATTCGACGGAGATCAAAGTGCTTATCTCTATGTGTTGTTGATCAGAATAGATTCTGCTGACGACAATGTGGTTGTAGCAAGGATGGTTCGGATGATGGTGACAGGTCGTACGGCGTGAAAAGTTGGAAACGATATAGCAGAAGATACTGTGATTGGCTATCTTTACAGGCCGTTGCGAACAAGCTTCGCCGACCTCATGCACTAAAAGCTTACTAGATGCAACGAACTAGTACGGAAGCTGAGAACCGTTTTCTTATCGTCTGCACGTCAAGGGCGCAAGACGGCTGGTATCAGGTACGTCGGTGACTTATGGCGATGTTTCCTAGTTTGATTACTTCTACAGTTCTTCTCCGGTGACTTTGTGAGTTTCTTCTAAGACTGAGATTCGATTGGACTGACAATCAATTCGAGAATTGTTATGACTGCCAGATCCTGGGAGACACGGCACGGGACTCGTCATGGGCTGTTCAGGTCTGGCTCGAGGTGTAGTATAAATTATCCGCCGTTATCAGAAAGTTTCTTCATCACAAGTGCCAAGAACTCTGAAAAAGCCACAGCATTTCCTCTTCCACATCTCAATCCAACCTTTGAAAATATTTCGATCCAGAAACGTCCTCAACAACTATGAAGACCTCAATCCTCCTCTTTCTTGCTTTGCTGCAAGTCTTTGCTTTAGCAGCTCCAGTCCCATCCGCTGAAGGTAAGAGACTATTGTTTCTCAACTCATCGATATTCTAACGCGATACTTTCTTGCAGGACTCATCGACCGTACTGCAAGTCCTGCTACTCTGGAGGAGGAGGGCTGTGACGAAGCGAAAGCAGCTGCCATCGCCGCGGGTGCCGACCCTGACTTGGCGGACGTTGCATATCCTGACATCTACAAACGGGAATGAGGAGTGTGAGGACGTGATTGATTGGTGGCTAGTGGTGCAACGGGAGGTTGACGGACAGGGGGTTCGCTTAGGGTCCGGCTAAGCGAGGGGATGAGATGGGCTTGGAATCAGGGTCTTTCCTTTCTTGAACAGAACATAAACCTTGGTATTGGAAAGTGATGGGGGGCTTGGCTTGAAGCGGGGGTAGTGCCTAATTGTATGTAGTACGACATGCTGTGGTGTTTACCCAGGTCATTGTAAATGCAACGGATTTGCAGATTAAGTGCTTATCCATTCGCCGACAAGACGAATTCTGCTTTTTGATCTGCTATTTCTCGCCGGGTTCTTCTGTAGACTCTCTTTTTGAATCTGTGTGGCCCTTGTTCTTTGCAACATCATCATTATCATCCGTGCCGCTTCCGAAAACTAGCAAGTACATACCGCTGGTACGAAGTACGAATGAAGGGCACAGTACTGCAACCTTAAACTAATCTTCCAGAGTTCCCGGTTTAATTTAGAAATGTGTACGGAGGTCGCGTGTATATCCGTGCCGTACTCGTGGTAGCGGCGGCACCATGGTTGACGCCAGGCTTGCCGATCCCTTCTTAGCGGTCCCATTCGTGGGGTAGCACCGATCTCACCTCCTCGACTTGGCGATCTCATATCGTTCTTGGCGCGAGGCCCGGTAGGATTCAAGCCACATTCAAGCCACAAGCTGTATGTCTCCCGTGTATACGATTGAGTGGACAGCGCTTGTCCTTCGGTGGGTTTTCTCATAACTTCATGCACATGCGCGTCTGTGGCGTAGCGGGGTTCGGCGCGTTATTATGGACAACGATCAGAACACCTTCTCAAACGCGCTTCAACTTGATGATCTCTATGAGCGGAGTTTATCTAAACAGTTTTATTGCATTTAATGACGTGGTCTAGTTACGAGAAATAGGACCCGCTGGTAAAATATTCTCAATTCGGGCACCCATGCCCGAGCTAGAATACAAGTGCATGTGAGAGAGAAATCTATGCGTTAACCTCTCAATGTATCTATAGCTAGCCACCAAGATACAGCATAGACAATGAATGGATCATTGGACTCTGCTTCAGAATTGCTTCTTAGCAAAGAGGACCGACAACTTTCTTTGGAAGATGATGTCGACCGCCAATCGAAGGTGTCTCAGTCGCCGCGCAAGTTTTTCTGGATATTCTTCGTCGCACAAGCTCTTCTTATAGCCCTCTACACAATAGGAAGCATCACAATAATCAGAGGCCTCTCGTCACCAACTCCGCGACCATCGCCTCGTAAGTTTTCCAGATCCTCCTCAAAAGCTCAGAAGATAGAATCTGATTATTTCCCAGCAATACCTGACTTAACTCTTTCCTACGCGACAAAAAAATTCGTCTCGCTGCAGGACAGTCCTTTCGCAGGACCTCCTGGCGCTGAAGTCGACCATTCATGGTCAAATTTAGTTCAAGGCGTCAACTTGCGAGTCTCAGCAGATGAATTAGCAGTCAGCTCTCAGTCTTCAGTCCCATTGCCAGAAGGAGGGGGACATTTAGCCTGGCTTTCGGTATACCATGAAATTCACTGCGTGGTACGTCGATTCTGCCCGTCTGTCATCAGAGGAACTTTGGCTGACTTGTTCGTACAGAAAATGCTACGGCAATGGCATTTTAGACATCATTATTTCGCCAACATCACGGAGAAAGATGAATTGCACTGGACATCACATGCGGAACATTGTTTGGACTTGCTGTTGCAGACGGCGATTTGTCACGCGGATACATCGCTGGTGACATTTCGGTGGGTGAAGGAGAAAGACAGACCATTGTTGAATACCAGGGATAATCCGCATACGTGCGTTGATTGGGACCAGTTTACGGGTTCATTGCGTGAGCGGGTGGTGCCAGAGGAGGAGATGCATCGATTAAGGAATCCTTTGTTGTTGTTCCCAGATGTGTAATTATAAGGATGTATTGTAGCTTAAATTTTATGATACCCAATCTATACTGCGGTGCAAAGCGATTGAGTGAACATAGTGTGTCGCGAAGTGAATTTTACTAGGCACTTGTTCACGGAGTCTCGGAAAATATCAAACTTTCAGAACTAGGACCTTCAAGTCACTCTTCGATTGGAAACATCACTCCAACTACTCAACCCAACATTATTGGAGATTGATCATATAAGACTGCTGATTTACAATTATTCCCTAACTACAATTCTTCGACCTTATTCTCTCACCCAGTCTACTTCTGGCAATCATGAATCAAATACTGGACTTAAGCACCAAGAACACCCTTTGGTGGCATTGTATCCTCAAGCTGCCACTTCGTAGTCCACGAAACAAGCTGGTCCCAATCTCGACACTGATGTGTAGTTCCAAATCCCTTTGCCCCCCGTGGTCCCTCCTTGATCTCAATCGTCGTATCAGCAAGACACATTAGACTTTGTCTCAACAGATCAATACAGTGACGCATATGTGCGGGGCTGTACTTCATCTGGGGATCATTCGGCATGATTTGAACGCCTGAAACGGCCGCATCGTAGAATTGGTAGAAGCCAAGACGCAACATATCCTTGGTGTGGTGTTAGGAAGCAGATTCTGTGGTGGGAAGTGAAAGTGTATTCAACATACCACGCAATGCAGTTGGTGAAAGACGGACATGGTGCTTCGTTCAGGTGCTATCACAGGATGACTGAAGTAACCGCCTCGCTGGGGGAACATCTCATTCCATGCGAGAGCACTACGTTCTGAGGGACCCTCAGAAAATGTCTCATTGTGTATGAATGTCTTGTAGACAGTTCCAACTGTTCAAGTGATCCGTCAGCTGAATTCGTCTTCTTCCCGATGGAAGAAACTCACGCTCGACATTGGATTTGTATTTCTTCTGAATCACTGCCTCGCCAATGAAGAAACCAGCTGATCCAGCAAGGGCAGTAACCAGCAGGAAAATGGATACTAGACAGACGATGTATTTTCGAGATTTTGTAGAGGATGACTTTTGGAATATTGGGGTAGAACTTGACAGAGAACCATCATTACTGCTGGTTTCCTCGTCTTGTAGTAGTGAGTATTTCTGTTCTCTCTCCTCGAAGTTCGACATGATGGCTGGATTGCTCTAAATGACAAGAGTATGGGTAGATGGTTCGCACGGCGCAAGTGAATATAGGTGGAGAGAGTTTTCTGAGAGGGTTGAGCTTTCAAATCTCAAGTGGGTTAGATGCTTTCGGGTAGAATTACAGCATTTCTGTAAAATACACAGAATACGGTATTTACTAACAAGTTTGCATGTCGATTTCTCGGCCGCCAAGCAGGGTTCTCGAGTCAAGCTTCTTAGTCCTCAGAACAAGCTTCGGCAAGCGCGTATTCCATACCACTCGGTACCTTTTCCACGGTTGCTTCCATGCTGGTCCTGGCATGCTCGACATGCTGCTTAGTGGCGCGGGATGGCGCAGGGCAGGGTTCTTGCGACCCTAACTTTCCTTATCAACATCCCCGCAATCCAACCAACAACTCGCTGATCAGAAGATCAGCCTGTGTTACCTTCCTCCAGTGACCAACACGACCAATCTGTACCTGCTTCGAGACTGCGTGGCTCAGTGCATTTCTTTCGCAAGATGGCTTCGCACATTGTCCTCTTTTCTGTCTGGGCCAGCTTACTTTCGCTGTCAGAAAACAAGCCGCGCAGCATTCCTCCTGCTTCTGCTCCCGTTATTGCATCATGAGCTCTGCTAGTCGGTTGTCGGAGCTGGCCTCCATCATCAGTGAGAACACAAAGAAACTCGAGGAGTATCTGGCTTCCATAAACCATCCGTTGCCATCTCTTGATCCAGGAGCACCATTGGCATTGATGCTTCCTGAGGAAATCACGGTATACCAGGAAACTGCTCTTGATGCTGCCACCGAACTGCGAGCTCTGCTTCTGGGACCCATTGGTATCTTGCAGTACCAAGCAGAGGTGAGGAATATATCAATCGTTGGCGTGCTTCGGAATTGAATGCTGACCCAGCTTTGGCAGCATAATCTGCTGATCGGTCTTCAAGCTATCAATAAATTCAAACTCTATGATTTTCCTCCTGGAGAGGAGCGCACATTTGCGCAGCTTGCTGACCAAAGTGGTGTGGATGAGGATTTTGTACGACGTATGATCAGACAGGCGAAAACGAGTTACATCTTCAAGGAGCCTAAGCCGGGTGTCGTCGCGCACTCCGCAGCTTCAAGTGCGATTGGAATGGTGCCTCTGCTGAGCCAATGGCTGGGTATGGTCTCTGAAGAGCTCTACCCGGCAGCATCAAGAGTGAGTGTGGTTGGGACATCGCAGAAGAAAAGGAGTTCGCTAATGATCATTGCAGAGCATAGATGCGCAGATCAAATGGCCAGGCTCTCAGGAGCCAAACCAGACAGTAAGTTGTATCTAATCAACATTCAAATAGATAATGGACTAACAAGCTTCCCAGGGTTTCAATATCGCCCATAATACGGACGAGCCGACCTACAAGGCCATCTCCGCAGACCCTCGTCGTGCCCAGCAGTTCGCTGATGCCATGACTTTGTTCCAACACAGCCCAGGAATGGAGCCAAGCTACTTCGTGAACAACTACGATTGGAGCGGCGTCTCAAAAGTCGTCGACATCGGCGGCTCGCACGGCATTGTAATGCAGGAGCTAGCCAGCAAAGTTCCAACCATCGAATGTGTCGTGCAAGACGTTGCCAAGGTGGTAGAAGAAGGCAAAACGCAGGTTCCCAAGGAAATTTCGGATCGTGTAGTGTTCATGGAGCATGACTTCTTCACGCCGCAGCCCGTCAAGGGCGCAGATGTTTATTTCTTGCGCTGGATCTTCCATAATTGGTCGGATAAGTATTGTATTGATATCTTGCGTAATCTGGTTCCGGCACTCCAAAAAGGGGCTCGGATTATTGTTAATGAGTTTTGTGTTCCTCCGCCGGGAGTCTTGACCCCGTTCCAAGAGAAACCATTGAGGTGAGCACAACTTTCCCAACGCTCTTTGACGTTTAGAAGCGTGAAGGGTCAGTACACTTGCTGACTGCTTCTCATAGATCATTTGACTTGGTTATGCTGGAGTTGTTCAATGCCAAGGAGAGAGGGGGTGAGGAGTGGGCTGCGCTATTCCATGCTGCAGATGAGCACTTTGTGTTCAAAGGCGTGCAGTTCCCCAAGGGGTCAAAACTGGCTATCATCGAGGCTTGTTGGGAGGGTGAGGACTCTTCGTGAGTTGAAGTGCTATCCGCGCAGGACTTTAGACTATTAATACCGGGAGCTTATCTCGAGGCATATAGAATGTATTAAGATTTGCACTGAGACAACTCACAGCATCTCTCTGTATCGAAGCCATTCTCCATGGTGACAACGATACTGATTAATTGGAAGCATCCCACTTCAACCTCAAGAACTCTGAGCCAAAAGACGCCGTCCAAGCAGGAAACTCGGGACGCAGTTCAGGTCAAGACGCCTTTGTATGAAACCCCTGAATTAAGCGAACTTCCACAGCTCGAGCTCCAGTAGCCATGTTACTTGTACCATATTCAAAGCATCGAATCTCTTCTCTCGATATAATTTGAAGATCCCGAAAAATGTTTGTGTAATCATCGGATCCATGCATCGCCAAGCATGCACAGAGTCACAAGCAAGGATCATGTGTCGTACCCCCTGTGCCCATTTCTGAGACATCCAAACGCGAGGCAGAGCATGCCACTGTTATTCTCAGCCTCATAACTTACATTCCTATCAATAAGTTTGATTCCAGCGCTACATACGTAAGCTTTTAGATCGTCAACCGCAGGAATATTACCTGTGTAGAGAGAAACATTGTGAGCACGTGCTTGCACACGCGACACGATGGCTTCAGTCGGGGAAGGTACAACGCGAGAAAAAGAGGTAAAATCCCCGTATCTCATGAGCTCACAATATTCGCTGATCATTTCAGGACGCATTTCTTCTGACAGCTTCATTCTGGAAACGCTTCGTCGTCGTTCTTTCCATTTCCCTGTCCGTGGCAGGCCTGATTTTGAGCGCAATTGCGAGTTTGATGCATGAGGATATCAGCCACCAACGACGTAAGCTTTATCAATCAACCCTACACGTTATCTTAGGGAGTAGTGCTTACCATCATTCAGGACTCACGATCTCGGGTATCATAATCAATGCATCTTCAATCTCGCTCTCGGCCTTGACGAGTTTGGATTGGAAAAGGCAGAAGACGCATGACAGGGTCTTTGCCGATCAGTTGTGTAGGATCGCTCATGCGCAAGTCGATGGAGACGGTCAGATTGTGATCGGTGCTAAAGACTCGAAAAACTTGTCATGAAGGTAGAATGGAAGAGCAAAATGGCAAGAGCCGACTCCGGGTGTGTTTGGTCAAGAACGGTGCTTGGATAAATGTGGGACATTCAAATGGGTGAAAATTGTGTGTTGGAGCACATCATAGCAGGGTATCATTTTAATTTCTTGATCCTATCTCAAACCAAGAATATTCTTTTCCATAACCTTGACACCATCTCTGACAGCTGGAGAGAAATGCTTACGCAGTAACTCTCCTTCCCACACCGTCGCAGCAAATGGATTGCTGCCCTCAACTTCTCCACCAAGCGCATCAAACATTCCATCTCCCCTCCTCTCTTCGGTGTTCCACAAAGATGCGATTTTCTTTTCGTGTGTCTTCGTTACCTTTCCCAGTAGCCCCACCATAGCAAGACAGGATTTTTCTGGTAGGTGGAGTGACGATGTAAGGAGTTGCTTTGTGAAAGCGGCGATCCGCAATGGTGGAACTGCTCGGGCTGCTAGAGCGGGGGTGAGGATCGAGGTGAGAGATCGAAGGAGCAGGACAGTTGTTGTTTGGATGTTGACCTTGTTTTTGGAGGTGGTGAGAGACGAAGGGTCGTTGGGATCTGGGAGGTGAAGTGACTTGGAGCTGAGTTCAATATCTGGATTGAGGGAGAGAGCGTGAAGTGTGCGATATAAATGCGTGATGAAGTAGCTCAGGTCGAGACTGAGTGATGCCTGGGCTTTCGCAGCATCTTGACCTTCGAGTAATGCGAATGCGGTGATGATGCAGAGAAGCGCTTCTCGAGTCAAGTTTCTGGTCGTCTCAGTATCTTCGTCTCCATCTCCATCTCCATCTTCTACATCATCGCCGGTCTCAGCGTGACCGGTTAAATCCTTCAATGCTTCAAGTAAATCTCCAAAAAAGTCCTGGTTGATGAGATGTGCATATCTAGCCAGACCTTCCAAGACAGCACCCATCAAATTCGGTGAGCGCATTTTGAGGATGCGGAAGTATGTGACGAATACCATTTTCAGAGTTTCGGACTGCATTCGATCTCGATCTTCATGGCTGACTGTAGCATCGGCTTGCTTCATCTCTTTCTCCACGACTTTTCTCTCCTTCATAAGCTTCCTTTCCTTCTTGGTTCTGAACACTCTCTTCTCCTTGATCTTTTTACCACCAGAATCGTCATCATATTTCGGCTTCTCGATGTAATTCGTGGAGGCTTTCCAAGAAAATTCGGACAATAGTCGCAGGTGTAAAAATGTGTTTAGCACACTCTCATCGACTCGGTATCCTCTTCCCTTCATCATCTTTGTTAGGAGCGACACAGCATCCAAAGAGGGTGTGCCATCCTCATCGACTTGGAACAATGTCTCGATCGTCTCTCGACACTTGACAAAGTCATCATCAACCCTCCGACCACTGAGCTTCCCAACAAGAATTTTCAGGAGGTCAACACGGAAGTTGAAATGAGGGACTTCCACCAGGAGTGCACATGCGCAGGAGATGGCAATACTGGCCAAACTAGCACCACCATCTCTAGATCCGCCAGAAGTTTGTGCCAACTTTGCTAATGCTCGAACATATCCCTGATACCCTCCAACCAAGGCCTGCTCATATGCTCGTAATTTTCGAACATCCTTCGACACTTTGGTCTCCATATCTTCTTCCGAAAGGGGTCGTATTCGGTAGCCTGGAATAACATCTTTATATACTGCCAATTGAACTCGCAATGCCAGTTTCTTGATTGTGATATTGTGTGATTGTCCAAACTGTGACAGGACTTTGAAGGCGCCCACATGCTCTTCTGGATCTTCTTGTGTAACCATCAGAGCAATTCGTGCCATTTCCTCTTGTGCCTCTAGGATCTGCTGCTTCACAGGGACCTTGGGCTTCTTCACGACTTCTTCCTGGACCTCTTCCTCGGATTCCTCTGCACCAAGCCATTCGAGATCACTGTCTACATCCTCAACCGGTGTTGCTTGCTGAACCAGCCCTTCAAAAGTTTTGATTGGCAGTCGGGTACTCTCCTTCTCCTTCTTTCTTCCTTTTCGAGGTCTCGATTCGTAGTCCTGCTCCAAATTCCAACTCGAGGCTTGTTGAAAGAATGTGCTCTGCTCGGGTTCGTGTTCGAGGGTCGAAGGTGATGAGTCCTCTCCATCAGTCCTAGGAGGTGTCAGCTTTCGCCGCTTGACTGCTGGTATTCTGGCCATAATTTGTTGCGGTTTTGTTGTGGAATGAAGCATTCTGGAAATTCAAAAAATTGATTTTCTACCTCGCGGCCGCTCAAGCCGCAGGTGCGGCCGCGGAGAAAAAAAATTCCATCCCCGCCATTGAAATATTCTGGAGTTCGAATTCGATGCTTGACCACAACTACTACACCATTTCAAGATCACTCATTAATAGCCACCGAGAGGCTGATTTTGCAACAAGATGCGTCCCTTAACAGAGACCGAGACGCAGACTCTCTTCACGAAGCTTGCGAATTATACTGGAACCTCTCAAAATTCTCATCGCGCCTCTTCACAATGGCCCAAACCCTGATCGATACGTCTTTCGTCTTCATCAATCGCGATGCTATTACGTCCGACTGTCACTTGCCAATCTGGCTACCTCGATATCAAGAGACAAGCTGTTATCTCTGGGAATATGTTTAGGTAGGCCTCCTCCTAGTTCTGGCTCTGCACTTCTAACAATTCTCAGGGAAGTTTACCAAGACTGGAAAGTTTCTATTACATATTTCCGCTCTTCCTCTCGCAGAGCATGCCAGATTTAAAGTGTGGGTGAAAGCCTATGGAGAAATGCCGTTCCTCTACGGAAGTCATATTGTGAAAGCACATGTGGGAAGATGGTCGGAGGATTGCCCGGAGCACCAAGGCATGGTTGTCTACAGTATGAATGATACACGATTAGGCTTTGGAGTTACGGCGAGAAGCACACAAGAGGCGAGACGGTTAGATCCTACAGGTATTACATGTTTCAGGCAGGAGGATTGTGGAGTGTACTTGAGAGACGAAGATACCCTGTTTGCCACAAGCTGAGATGTTGTTCGCGATGGTATGAATCAAATCGATGGCATTGCTTGGAGTTATGGCGCTGGATAGCTTTTGGGCGTCTGCTGGGTTGGTCTCTGGAACTCTACGGTGTTCTGATATCAAAATCGGGTTTCTGCAGATTCTAGCTACCTAGGTATACTGCTGCTTCCAAGGGATACCTGGCATGTCGGCACTTTCAATCATGAAATCAATTATATCCAGATACCCATAAGAGATGCATATCAATGTTGTAGTGCTTCTGCTTTCTGAATTCCCAAGGAACATTTTCCAGCATTTCACGTGATACCGTGTTCCGGAAAAAATAAAATCCTTCCCACCTCAAATTTCAGAGATCTTGCATCAGACAACAAATACATCGCCGGTCGAACATGCGATAGCACAGACTGACTCTCTACAATGCTCCGGCCGACAACCTCAAAATGCTTGCTCTGTTCCTTCAGAGCAACGCAGAAGACGGGACTTTCCGTCTTTCAATGGCCTATTCAGCAGACGGCAGGCTTGCAGATGAAGCACAAGCCCAATAGGGACAATGGAAGACCTTCGCGAATGTCCCTCTCTCCAGCAAGAACAGTCGAATCCTCGAACTCGAAATCTGGCCAGGAGAAACCTGCAAGGCGGCGACAAGATGGTCCATTTGGAGGCATGAATTTGAAGGTTGCTGGCATACGAGGAGTTCCAGAGGGTGGCAGGACCGAGAGAAAAGATGGGAAGAAAGAACGAGGATTCAAAGCCTTGAAGATGCAGCGTGCATTAGCACCGGTCTCATACGATCAGCGCGTGAAAATCAGAGCTCGAATTGCTCAAGTGGATTCCTTTGACAACTTCGACCTCCTCGAATCCGTCAAGAAGTCAATACTTACACAAGCCTTGCAGGGGATGGACGATCTTACTCCTACACCAGTGCAGAAGATTGCTATACCAGCTCTGCTAGAGGAGAAAGCAGCACGAAGAAGCAAGAAAGCTGGAATGGAGCAATTCCTCATTGCAGCGGAGACGGGGTCTGGAAAGACGCTTTCTTATTTGGTTCCTACAATCCACGCTATCAAAATTGCTGAGGCAGAGGACGCAGAAGTGGAAGAATATGAGAAAGCGCTACAAGAAGAGAAGAGACGACAGAACGATTTAACTCTGGTATCGCCTCCCCTGTCAAACATGCCACATCCAACTACAGGTCGACCACGAGCTGTCATACTCGTGCCTACTTCCGAATTGGTTACGCAAGTGGGAAATCTTGTGAAATCTTTTGGACATACAGTCAAGTATCGTTCTGGCATGATATCTGCTCAATTTAGTGGAACCGTGATTAGGAATCGCTTGTTTTCCCCTAAAGGCATCGACATTGTGATATCGACCCCACATCTGCTTGCATCCATTGCAGACTCCGACCCAAATATCCTATCTCGAGTCACACATCTCATCATTGATGAGGCTGACTCATTGATGGATCGCGGCTTTGCCCCTTTGACATCTTCGATCATTGATCGATCAACGCCATCTCTAAAGCAACTCATTCTCTGTTCGGCAACCATTCCTCGAAGTCTTGACGGATACCTACGAAAACGATTTCCAGAAATTCGACGCCTGGTGACACCGAATTTACATGCAATCCCTCGTCGTGTCCAGCTTGGTGTTGTGGATGTTGAGAAACTGCCCTATCATGGAAAGAAGGATCTTGCCTGTGCAGATACCATCTGGTCTATTGGCAAAGCTGCTGCTGATCATGACGGCCCTGTGAAGGGAGTGATGGATGTGAAGAGGATTCTCGTCTTTGTCAATGAACGAGAGAAGACTGAAGAAGTTGCCAGCTATCTTGTGTCAAAGGGCATTGACGCTATTGCACTAAATCGAGATACTTCGGATCACAGACAATCGGAGATGTTGGCATCATTTACAACCTCAACTCCACTTACTACCGCGAAAGATTCTCATCCAGGATCTCTCTCAGACAACCAGCCAAATTATGTTCCACTTGGGCAGGAAGCCCCGCCTGTTAAACGTCGCCTGCCCAACGTCAAGGTCGTCGTCACTACAGACTTGGGGTCTAGAGGTATTGACACGCTTGCAGTGAGGCATGTCATTTTGTATGATGTACCACATTCAACCATAGATTTCATTCATAGACTGGGACGGACTGGGAGAATGGGTAGACGAGGAAGAGGTATTGTACTGGTTGGAAAGAACGATAGAAGAGATGTCGTTGCGGAAGTCAAGGAGGGTATGTTCAAGGGACAAGCCCTCATCTAGAATTCCTCTCTAGCGTCTGCGATGCGTATGTATATGTATGATAATGTACAAAATGACATCAAGAGCATCCCCTGGAAGCAGCGACTGCATTGAAGGTGAGTAGTCGTGTTCCTGTCGGTTTCATCTGACATATGATGCTCGTATATTAGCTGTTGATGTTGCGCTTCGTTGCCGCCTTGAAAATGTTATTAACTCGTCTGATTCATACTTGCTATCAATTTTACATTCTGCACCATTTGTGAGCAGCTAGCTGACTTCCAGGCCGTGTCTTACTGCGCGGTTACTCCCGATCGAAGCATTCCAGGGCCGAAGAACATTCCGGTGAGCAACAAGCTTCATTCTTGACAATTGTCAACAAAGCTCCACGATTTCTGCAGCGATTTTTCTGAGCAAATTATGAGAATGGCCTGGGGATGGATTTTGCTGATATCTTTTCCTGTTGCGACTTTTGCAGACCTGTCGATCCCAGCGGATAGACTAGAAACATTTCAGACTTCTACAGTCGTTGAATCATCAACCATCATTGAGTCATGCTTCTCGACAACCACTTCGATTTCGATCAGTTCATGCACCGGCCTGGACATCACCAGAGTCCCAATTTGCATCTCAACAACTCTGACGGCGTCGACAACTCTCATTAATACCACCTTGTCGAGCACAACGATAGACCTAACATCATCGGCCTCCTCTTTGCAATTGTCGACCAAAGTCAGCACTGCTGCTTGGTACACTCCAACTGCGATTGCGGCCAATGGCCTTTGTGGTGAAACAACTGGACAGACGTGCTTGGGAAGTACTTGGGGTAATTGCTGTTCGGCGTCCGGTTCGTGTCAGCTCTTGTCATCCGAGACGAAAGTCTGCTAACTTAGAGTAAGGGGATTGTGGCCATAACGCTTTCTACTGCGGCATAGGATGTCAAGACGAATATGGTTATTGTAGTAGCACTAGCATGGATGGTAGCTGTGGGAATGGTGTCTCATGTCTTGGGGGTAGATTCGGGCGCTGTTGTTCAGCCTCGTACTATTGTGGCAATGGGACTGATTTCTGCGGTGATGGTTGCCGACCAGAGTTTGGAATTTGTGGCCTACCGGCCTCTTTGTCTTCGGCTTCATCGACGACTTGGAGCTCATCAATGTCATCAAGCCTGGCTTTCTCAAGCTCGATGAACTTTACGAACGCTACGAATTCTACGTCAATGAGCGGCTCCAGCTCCTCAAGCTCGGCTCTATTTACTAGCACAGATGCGGTTTGAAAGCAGATCACGAAGAATGTATTTTTGGGTCTATGCTATCTTGCATGTGTTCGCTTTGCGATGGATCAAGTGAACATCATTGATTCGGTCTGATACTTGCACCATGTATGTTTATTTCTTGAAAGATGCATTATTAAAATTGCTCGATATTGTTATTGACAGATCGAGGTGATCTGCAAAATGGGGATTGCTACACACGAAATTATTGCATCTCAATGGTCTCATGACTATCCTGAAGAGCACAGTTCAGCATCACTTTGAGGAAATTGGAGTGATCAACGGCAACGACGTTCACATTCCGATGCCGGGATAAAACTATAACAGCACCCAATTGTATCTTCTCTCCTAGATTATTATTACCGCGCAATCAAACCATCTTCGCAGCCAAACAAGGTTTACCATGTCTCGACGAGAAAAGCAGCCCCGCATGCGCAAGTTGCTAACAATCATCCACCAACGGAGACATTGTTCCTTGGTTTCCCCACTTTAAAGCATGCACTTATCAAGTGAAAACCTCGTCGTCGAATGCCCCTTCTTCCAATGCTCTAATATGCAGGCAAGTTTGGCTGATATCCCGTTGGTGGTTGAATCGAAGTTCGGTGCTCATGCAGCGGAATCGGCTGCGGGCCATATGGAGCCTGGCCATATGATTCATGGTGCGCATCAGCTTGAGAAGATTGCTCATAAACTTGCTGAGACGCTTCCATTTGATATCCTTCATGTTCCTTCTGTGGAGTGTCGGCAGTTGTAGACGCTTGCTTTCTGGATCTGTTCCACTCTAGCACATTGAAAACGAGACATCCAAATAAGAGTAGCCTGCAAGCAGTTAGTTGATATCAGTTAGTTGAGTATTCAAACCTCCTAGGTCATGTTGGGGTTTTAGACTTACATTTCCAAGGCAGACAAACCAGCAATCGCGCTCAAGACTGAAAGCCCAGTTGAGGTTGCAACAGCTGCCCTTTTCTCCATACCTCGTTCCACTACGCACGTAGAAGAATTTACCAGAGAGCCATCGTTGTAACAACCATCGATTGTGACACTATACTTGAAAGAGGCACGCAGTGCCGCAGAGGCCCCCATTGCTGAAAGCCAAAAGATCATCATAACAGCATCGATACCCAGCACTGCATACTGAATGCGGAACCTCTTCAGGGATCCAACATAGATGGTAGTGAAATTATAAACAACGACAAACCATGTCAAGAGGGACTGGTACAAGTTAGAAAACCAGGTGGTATTGGAGAAGACCCTAAACTTACAGTGAAGATCGTGAATCCCATCGTGTCGAAATATAGGCCATGAATGATGTAGGCGGAGAGACCCAGGATGATCACTGCAAGAACAAATTGCGCAACAAATACGATTGGAAGCCACACAGGTGTCCGTGTAGTAGACCCATTGTGTTCTTCCATGTTCTCGAGATTATCTGGCGCAATTATTCTGTGAAATTGTGAAAGCTTTCAGCACCGTGGAAAAGGTTGGTAGTTCAAATCTTTGGTCTGGACAAGGCTGGATATAAATTGTTGGCGACTTTTCAGCCTCAAAACGCCAAGGCAGATCTCCCGACGGATCAAGCCTTAGTCCCGGAAATGAGAGTCATAAGTTGCACAAAAGATGAATCGGGCGCGAGGCTCAGCCGCCAAGTCTAAAATGTGGAAGATTGGCTAGCTCGAGGCCAATCAGGAGAAAGCTTGAAAGCCACAAAGGAATCTCATAGTCGAAAGTAATGAAAACAAATTATTGGCGAGGATTCAATAGCGTAATTGCCCGATAACTCGCATGACCAGAGTTCTGCCTTGTGGTGAGCCTACCTGGAGACCCGTTTTGATGACTTGGCAAAGATCGACATGGCCAAGCACGGATGCCGAAAAGGATTTATTTCCAAAGAAATTCTTGTTTTCTAACATGGATCTCGTTGTCCCTCTTGAGAAAGGTCATCTTCAAAAAATCGAGAAACAGCTAAGAATATTGAAACACAAAGGTTTGAAGGGGCATTTTTTTGGGCGACTTGTGTAATATTTCTTGAGATCGAAGAAACTACTTCTGCGCTTCCCACTAGTTGAGGTACTAAAAGATCTCCTCCACCTTATTTATTACCGTCGAAAGCCAGCCTTGAGAGTACAGCTCTTCCGTCGCCCCAAGTGTATCGAGACTGTTTCGAGCATCTGTCAGGGTTCTGCCTCCAGCCCCGCTTCTTCCCTGTATGCTTCTAGCAGAGAACCACCATCTCTTCACCACCTCAAACATGTCCAAAACAAACCTCTTTGTAGTAGCCGGGTTGACCATGGTATAAGTTCCATTGTACGTCGGTACCAGTACTGATCCATTAGACAACACCGTGACGTTCACAAGATTGACAGTGATTGCCTCGTAGTCTTTCATAACTGACCCTTCTAACACAGTTTGATCTACCAATGTTACATTGACACCAACTGTCACATTCTGGATCGAGCAGCCTGTTTTGGGATAATCTATCTCATCTGTGCCATCCACCACGGCAGAAAGGTATGCGAGAGCTCTCCCGCGCCCTTGCCAAAGCTCTTCGTTGTGACCACCAACTCTGTTGCGATGATAGAGAATGTTTGCTCCTTGCTGACAAAAGCTATCGACCAATAAATCTGTCTCAGCTGCCGCGCTCATCTCATCGTGGATTGCTTTGTATATAAACATGGGCATGTTTGGAACTCCGTGATGACCCATCACAGCATCGTCGTTGTATACATCTACCAGAACTGGGGCAGCCAAGGCCTCAGTTCCGTTGTAGAAGTAGTCGGAGATGTTCTGGTTTTCGAAAGCGACAAGGACCTGTGAACCACTCATGGTTGTAGCAGTATAAAATTGGGTTGAATTGAATGATCCTGTGTTCCTTAGAACGCTGTCCAGGTATTTCCTTGCTGCTGGCTGTTGACTTGTGATACCGATGATACCAGCTATAGCCAGCCCAGCTGTGTCTTTACTAGTCATCTTGTTCCCTGCTGAGGTGACGTTTGGGATAGTGCCACCTTGCACAACGCCCGCCAATTTCAGATCTGGGGCGTATACTCCAGCAAGCTCAGCAGCAAACTCAGAAGCCAATGCTCCGCCACTGTAGCCCCATATTGCAGCCCGAGCTGTAGAAGCATTGAGTCCGAATTCTTGAGAAACTTGGAGGACAGCCCGGATCGAGTCAAGAGTTGCGTGCCCTGATTGGACTCCAGCACAGTAGCTAGAAAGTGGTCCTTCGTAATCGGGTGTGTTGACAAACCATCCACGTTTCAGAAGCTCATAGATCTCTCCATAAGGTTCGCCATATTGTAAAAGGTAACTTGGTGTGGCGTCTGGATCAGCGCTGTCATAAGGGACTTCGTATGTGACCAGGCCGCGTGAACAATTTTGGGGTTGTGTAGAGCTACACTCTGTATGCGATGCTGGAATGAATACGGTGGTGACACCCCAAGAAGCATTGTTGTTGGTGTCTGATGTGCGAAACAGCACCTGAAATGTGTCCGCGCAGTCTCCAATACTGATATTCCTGTACGGAGAGTACCGTACTTTCATAGCAGTACCAGGTGCTGTCGATTCCCAGCCAGTCGGTGGGCTGAACCATGGATCTTGAGTTGGGACTGGGAGAAGCCAAGAGGAGTTTCCATCTCGTTGAAGGAGATAATTGCTATCGTGGAAAGGACAAGGCAAGAAGGAAGCGAAGATTTGAGGCACAAGAAGACTCCAACAAGACACGAGCACAAAGAACAATCGCATAGCGGCAATGTTTCTTCTTTGATGAGATGTTTCATTCTCAAGAAAGAGGACACCGAACAAATATATTCCCAAAATCGGAATACATTTCTCGGCAATCTCTGGTCAATTCATGGCTTACAGGCTATGTGGAAAGAACGCATCTGTTGTTCATTCAGGCAGAAAATATATACAGATATTCGTCCGTTCGATGATGCCAGATAGAATAAATCCGGGGTTGCACTCTACCAGTCCACCGCTTAAATTGCGTTCATTTGATTCAAGGCGACGCATGACCTCGCTTATCTGGCGAACCCCTGAATCTGGAGGATGCAAGACCGAGCCGAAATGCAAGGAAAATAGATTAAGGGGTGGAGTATAGCAACTCCGATCTGCACTCCTATCACCTGAAGCTCTTGACTTGACAGATTTGCCAACTAAAAGCGAGCCCCGCAAAAATCATAGAATGTTCCTCTGAGCTACGTCATCTCATTACAATTCTTTGGCGTGCGTCTAGAAGCTAATTAATGCACAAGAAAGAAAATGTATGTCGCTGGAAGACGCAAAGTTATGCACGAAAAAACCCCCTGCAAGCATCTAATGCTCAAATTATCTCCTTCAATCATCACGGGCCCTCGCTGCGTAGGTGCTTGCGGGTCTCTGCTATAACTATCCATTCCTAAGTATGGTAGCGAATGCAACGCAGTTGAAATTGATAGCTGTTGCGGTTGGTGTACCGGAATGCCCATCACTCATCAGCAGCAACCAAGCCCTCGCACCCCTCTATCGCTGTACCAACTAGACCCCCTCTCATGATCATGTTGAAATTATTGAAAATCCAATGTCTGACTGGCCCAACGAAACGATACGTGCTTGCCAATTGAAACACTATAATGTTATCAGCTAGTCGAGCCAAACAGACACTGAAATAGTCCCTACCCCTAGAAATTCGACTTATTATGGCGAACTATGCGGCTCCCGAAGCGAAATGACCCTGGATCAGGGGGGGATGCACGGACCAGTCCACTATGATAAGTTCACCATAATATGTGCTGCCCAGCGCCGGTCGCTGACCTCTGTTTTTGGCCTCGTCGTCTTCCGCGACGGCTTAGGGTAGGGCGGCCTACGGACGGACTATGAGCGACGGGTTTCTCTACAAGCCGGAGTGGCAGGGGCTGCTCTGCACCCAGTGCGGGGTCTGTTTACGCCCCGGACGCAGCGTCTGGCTTCGACACCTCAGGCAGAAGCCGCACTACCTGCGAGGTGCACCGTTGAAGGCTCTCGTCGAGCTCTTTGCAACCTACGGCCTGCTGGTCCCGGAGCAAGTAGCCGTACCGACCCAAGTAGTGGCTGGCCTACGGCTCCAGGATGGCTTCTAGTGCCTGACGTGCTCGGCGGGCCTCACACAGAGCCTCCAGACCATCCAGCTACACGTGTCCAAGGCACACCAGCAGAAGCCTGCATTACATCAGAAGAGCCCCCTCTGGCGGAGGTGCAAGCTACAAACCTTCTTCGCCGAAAAGCAGTACATCCGGTATTTCGTGGCGAATAACGCCAAAGGAGCCGCAGACGCCGGCACAAAGAGCTTAGATCCAAGGGAGGCAGACTTCTTCAAACAGCTTAGCGAGGACGTAGCGGTTGTAGAGGAGGATGCCAAAGCAGAAGCCAACGTCGTTCATGGCTTCGGTAGCTATAAATCTGCTGTGGTGCCGTAGCTTCGACGGACGGGCATCGAGGAGCACACACGGGGCTTGAAGAAGGACGAGATGCACACCTCTTTTGCGGTGCCAAAGAATGCCGAGAGCGAGCCCGAGCTATTCTTAATGCTAGAGGTCATAGACGAAATCTTCTCAGAGGCACATAGCTGGTGCTTCGACGGCCCAGACTATATGCTGACCTGGCCACGGCAGCTAGCGTTGAGCCGTTTCCATACTGGCGCTGCCCCGGGGCAGAAGATACGCGCCTTCGACCCCAAGAAGGAGCCTAATACGCTTAAGACCAACTTCGGCTACTGGAAGCAGTTCCTAACGTTCTGCTACCGGGTCGTCTACCGCGGCAGCCACTTCACCACGGCCGACGACGACTAGCGGACCCCTGAGAGCTGCATCTAGCTCACGGATGCCCAGGAGAAGGCGTGGGAAGCGGCCTTCCAAAGTGCTGTCGAGTAGGACCGGCCTGCGCTAAGAGATGCTATATCCGTCCTCTTAATGGCGCTAATCTGCCACGAATTTGGAGGCAATCGGTACAGCTCCCCACTGCTCAGCTTCTGTGCTATGCTTAGCGTTAAGCCGTATACTAAGACTTAGAAGGAACTAGGTAATTACAACAGCTGCTTGTCTAGTGTGATCTGGGTTGTGCAGCTAATCATCTTCTACGCTAGCGCCTGTTTAGAGAAGGCGGAGCTAGGTAATACGCTCGAGCGCATTGAGCAGTATTGCGGGCGGTTCTTAAAGCAGGACACCGAGACTCCTATAGGCGAGATCCTCGGCTGGCGCTTACTACTGTTTACTGTCTCGAAGGAGGTCGTTAGGCCGCACCAAGCACAGTGGGATATAGACGAGAAGGTCCTGACCTACCGGAACGTTGATTTGCATATAGATCACATGCCGCGGCTCTTACTCTCCGACTTCTAGCAGGCCTAGCACCTACTCTACGACGAGCTAATATTCGGGGCCCAGAACCTCCCGCGGATGCGTACTTGGGCTTTAAAGGACAACTTAGACGCCGATGCCTTTAGCTGGTTCTTTGGCCAGCACCGGGAGAACATTAAGCTAGTAAAGCCGCTAGTGAGGTCTTTACTAACCGTTATCCAAGACTCAAAGCTATTGTGGGACTCGTTCCTAGATGCTACTGCGGATGGCGCTAAGGTCTGGCGAGGGAAGGCGATTGAGCAGTATAAGGCTATAGCTAACGAGTTCCTAAAAAGGCTCTTAGTCTTAATCCACATAGGTTCTGGCTAGCCTCTACGCGAGAGTGAACTGTTTTCTGTCACCTGGCGTAACACCTAGCGGCGGCGAAACGTCTACCTTAAGCACGGGCTAGTTATGCTGCACACTACATACCACAAAGGTTAGCAGTAGACGGGCAAGTTTAAGGATAATATCCGGTTCTTGCCTGCACCCGTTGGAGACCTCTTGCTCGACTACTTGGTAGTTGTCATCCCGCTCCGCTAGGTCTTCCTCCGCTAGTCTGCCCCGCATACTATTATCTCTCCGTACTTATAGTGGTAAGACGGGAAGGTCTGGGCTAACAACCGGCTCACGCGGTGCATGGAGCAGGCGTGTAGTCGGGCTAGCATCCCTAGGCTACACATAGCCAACTAGTGGCAGATAATAGTTAATATCGTTAAAACTAAGTTTGCAGCTAACATTAGGTGCTTTAAGGTTGACGATAGGGCTAACGACGAAGATGCCAAAGAGATTGAGGCTAACATTCGGGTTATAACCAAGCAGCGGAACTATAGTATACGGACTATTAACCGGGCATATGCAAACCAACATAATGCTAACTTTGGGAATATATGAGATAGCTTTATCCGCCGGAATCTGCGTGCTTCAACTCTGTGGAAGGACTTGTGGGGGCTTAACTAGCTGCTTGGACCTGCTAGGAAAAGGAAGCGGGATAGTAAAGACATTAGCGGTCTGCAAATGCTTAAGAAGATCGCTATGGGGATCTACCGGCCACGGAAGAAGTGGTTAGCTGCGGCTCTACTAAAGAGTGCAAGAAAGCTATACCTGGATAACACGCTAAAGTGGAAGTTAGTAGCCTAAAAGCGGGCTATAACTACTATTATGTCATAGACTAAGCAAGTGGTAGTCATTATAGCTACTAGCGAAGGGAAGAGCCTGCTGTTTATGCTGCCCTGTATCCTCCCTAATGCTAGGGTGACGATCTTGGTCTTGCCACTCGTGTCTCTGCGAGGGGACCTCCTCCGCTGAGTCCGAGAGTTAGGGATCGATCACTTGGTGTAGTCGCCTAGCGAGCAGCGAGATACACCCTTAGTGTTTGTTATAGTTGAAGTAGTATGTACGGAACAGTTTCGGACCTACGCCCACAAGCTCGCGGCTACGCAAGACCTCGGCTACATTGTGTTTAACGAGGCTCACTTGACTATTACAGCGTCCGACTATCGCTAGGCTATAGTTGACCTCGCCCTAATCCACAACGTCCGTACGTAGTTTGTTTACTTAACAGCTACTTTACCTCCGACAATACAAGCTACGTTTGAAGAGCAGAACAACTTAGTGAGCCCTAAGGTAATCCAAGTATCGACAAACCGGCGAAATCTGTTCTATATAGTATAGCGGGCCACTAGGCGAGGGAGTCTGCTCGAAGAGGGCGCGCGGAGGGCAAGGGACGCGTAGGAGAATAGCTAGCTCTTGGATCGGGCTCGAAATAAGATCATCTTATACGTTCGGACAAAAGACGATGCTATTACACTAGCCGAGCTACTCTGCTGCTCCTAGTACATAGCTAATACAGGCATAGCTAAGCAGAAGAAGGAGCTACTAAGAATGTGGCTTGCCTCCTCGGACTAGCCGTACATCGTAGCCACGTCTGCACTAAGCGCTAGCTTCGATTATGCCTACGTTCGCTTAGTTGTACACATTAACGAGCCGTCGTCTTTGGTCGACTTCGCCCAAGAGTCTGGTCGGGCCGGGCGGGATGGAAAGGAGGCGTACTCGCTGGTCCTCCTCTCACCTACATGGAAGCCGCAAGCCGCTGAGAGTACTATGGTCGAGAGAAGAGCCTTGCACCGCTATCTCCTCGGCTAGGACTGCCGCCGGGTATGCTTGAGTGAGCACCTCGACTCCGAGCCGTATTAGCGATAGTGTTAGGATGACGAGGACGTTGTATGCGATGTATGCAGCGCCGGCCTAGCTCTCGCTCCGTCTCCCGCTCCGTCTCCCGAGCCGGCCCTCCAGTATACTAGCAGTGTGGCTATCCAGGAGAAGCGGCGCCGAGCCGACCTCGAGCTAAGCCGGTACCAGGAGGACCTGCTTGCGGTTCAAGGCACGTGTCTGCTCTACAAGGCATTCGGCGATGCTTGGGACCACGCCTTCCCTACGTACTAGCGTCGGTTCGAGTTCTTTAAGGCTCGCAATCGTGTTAAGGACTAGAAGCAAGGAAGAGGGCCGTGGATTACTCTGTACCACGCGTGCTACTAGTGCTATAATCCCTAGGCCGTCTGTCAGTGCGCGGACCCAGAAAGTAACTACCAGAGCTGCCTCTACGCGGACATTGTTATGCCGCTCTACTACGGCATCTTCCACGGAGGCGGGGCCGAGCAGTGGCTAGAAGAGCAGTCTCAGCGGACGTTTACAGACGTCCACGAGTTCCTTAGGTGGTGTGGCCAGG